TATGACATAGTGGATCATCTCTCAGACGTGACTTTTCGGATAAAATGTGGAGGGCGAGGTAAGCCAAAAGGGGTGCATGCCAATAGGCTTTGGCGTTATCACGGTCCAGGACATTTCAGTTGGGACAAAGTGAACAAAGGAACAAATGACGCTTCTGAAGAAGTGTCACCTGAAAAAGCCACCGTCGAAGAAGAAACTCTACTCAGTTTTGAGAAGGGAAACGGTAAAGCTTTTGATGAAATTACTACCACTGATGTGACTGTTACCGACGACAGGACATTTTTTGATGAAGCAGATGAACCCCACATGAAGCAGAAGCCAATGAGACAGAGACCAGTACGGAGGAAGATACGTCCCGTAAAATTAAGAGACTTCGTTGAATTGTAATTTTGTGTTTGTAATACTGTGCATTTAATTAAGTTATTGTTAATTGTTATTGGTTTAATGTAAATGCCTATTGTTTGGGACGAACAATACTAAGGAAGGGGCAGAGTTACGACATCAGGGTCCCGTGATGCTAATAACACGTCATTGACTTCTTAAAATATCCTGTTCCTTCATTAATGCCCCAGCATTTACTAGATATGTGTTAGTCTTGTATATATAAGACGGTTACAAAGTGTCGGAACAATGTGTAATTGAACTGCGGAGAGAGAACATTGTTGAGTACATGAGACATTCGTTGAGAATTATAGCGTTTGTTATAACCCGACTGTTGAAATTAAGTGTATCCCAAAGTTATATTCAGAAAGAATAAACCAGTTTTATTCAAGAAAGGACTTGTGTCGCTAAAGTTTCGTCGGAACGAATTTACGGAAAATTAATTAATGACCAGAGATGTAACAATACATTTGACTTGTTTTGACTATATTATTTTAAAATAAGTGGATTGTGTGCTATCGTTTATTGTTGAAATTTATCGTTAACAAGTCACAGACACCTACTGGAAAGAATCCTGCCATCCATATATAAAAAACTGACATTGGGGAGCCATCTAAGATTATACAGTAATAAACGGAGGTAGACGAAGACGTGAACGACAGCGGAAGTAGGCCTATATGCACACCACTGCAGTGGTGGCGAAAATAGTGTAGAGATTACAGTTGTGCTATATAACCATGCCGAATTATTTTGATAAATAGATATAGGGACGTGAATGACTTGGGATAAAAGATAGCAGTTTGCTAGAGTTTGTTAACAACAACAAGAAGAATTAGAGAGACAAGAGCATAAGCAGAAATGAGATGATGAAAGACTAAACAAAGAAAAGGGAAGAGAAAGAATCAAAGAAGAAAAGGAAAGAGAGGGGAGACTGCAAACAGAGAGAACAAGAGCACAAACTGATAAAGAAGAAAAGCAGAGAGAATAAGAGCACAAACTGAGATCACCAAGCTCACCCAAAATAAAGAGGAAGGACCCAAGAATGATAATGGAATCAGGGTCAGAACTTCCCAAAGTTAGAACTAGGACAAAGGTGACTGAACAGTCTTTAATAGCCTCTTCTCACAGGAATAGGCCTGCAAGTATATGTGGGCATAATGTCAGAGGATACCATGGACTATATCAAGTTGAAAGTAGTATTGCTGAAGCACTATGAACTTAATGAAGAAGGTTTTGTCAGAAGTTCGGAGAAGTGAACCTGACATTGAGGAACTGTATTTCAGTTTGTGGCACGCCTATTTACAAGATGGACTGACAATGTTAGAAGCTGGAATCATCGAGCATTCAAATTCAGCTTACTGTTCACCAGTAGTAATCGTGAAGAAGAGGGATGGCTGAAACTGCTTCTGCATAGAGTTCTGGAAATTGAACCTCGTAACGAAGTTTGACTCCAAACCTATGGGCAACTCAGAGGCTATCATAGCAAAACTAAATGGAGCCAAGTTCTTTCCCAAGATCGACCTCAATAAAGATTATTGGGAGATACAAATGGAGACAGGATCTAAAAAGAAGACAGTCTTTGTGACACCAGAGGATGCCGACTGGGTTTGTCAACTCAGTGGCAACATTAAACTGCATGTTGAGGGAGATGTTGCACAGAACCACCAACATTGAGCATTATTAACAGGTTTTTTACCCGTCGTTTTCTTTTATGTGGGACTGATACACCTATGTGTGGCCATTGTGATACTCAGATCACAATTGCCCACGTTTTACTTTTAGATGGATGGTGTCATTGGCGATACTGTCAAACTTAATTGTGTTTTTACCTTTTTATGGGTCATTGGTCTTTATACTTCTGTTTAGTTTTTACCTGATCTTTGGGCATTTAACTTGTTTTATTTTTGCATTTTACTGTTTTTTGCTTCTAGCATTTTTACTGGTTGTTTGGCACAGAAAGTCTAGTTGCTTTATGCCAAAAAACGCCAAACAAACAACCAACACACCTGCAAACTCCTGGGTTCAGATTGTGAGGATACTCATCAACAAGATGCTCTGGAAGTTCTGTGTTCATATTTAGATGTGGTGCAGCGTTCAGCAGTATCTACTGGAATTTCAATTTCACTACCACTGAGAAAGTGTGTAAACTTGTGGGAGCCTTCAGTTTCTTTCAGTAGTCTAGAAGTGCATGCATCCTGATGTATTATGTGGCATATGCAAGTGAAATCTTGTGCAGAATGATATGATGCATATGAATACACGTCATCATAATTGAGCAGACAATAATACACATCATCATCGCATTCTGCATCAACTTCAACAGAAGAACTTGGTCTTGAGACATTGTCAATGTGATTTGCTAACCAGGAAAATTTCACCACACTAACTTCACACATGGCTTCCTCCTCTCCTCTGTAATTTCTGCATGGTCATAAAAAAGCCCACTCATATCGACGTTACAGTACCAGTGAGGAAAAAGAAACAGATTCCAAATGTGATGTACTGCCACCAATATTGAAAATACTATTAATTTACTTATTTAAGTATTAATTTGTATAACAAACTGATCTTATTTTTTATGAATAAAATAATTAATGTGTGGGTTTTAAATAATTTTCTATTTTGTCGAAATTAGCGTTTTGAAGGCCTAAGCCCCATATATAGTCTTTACTTTGAAATTGTGTTCAAGCACAAAAATAGTTTTATTTCATAAATAACTTAGCATACAGTAACTACTTAACTACATATCATGCTTAAAGTCATTAATAACGAAGTTTGCATTTATACCATTGTTTTTCTTGTTTTTATGTATCTTACTTGATTCTTTAGAGGCATCAAACTTCAAAGTTTAGCTTTATAAGCCATCAAGGTTATAAACACATTTCTTAAAAGGATTTATGCACCAAATTCCTTCTGGGCTTATAAAGTTTGGTAAAAATACCAATATTATAATTATTTCAACTAATTACTTCTGGGGTCTTCTGTGTGTTTAAGATAGAAATTGGGTGATGTTAATTTTTTCGCTTTTTGACAGTGAGTGTTGTAACAGAGAAAAAATAGAATACTCCGTGTGATGCAATATGTGGACCCCGCCGCTAGTGAATGGTATAAAAACAAATTAGAAATCTGGGGATTAAGACAACTATAACTTGTACTGTGTTTTTCAAATTGGTTAAGTAAAAACAATGTTGCTATTTTTTATATTTTCGCTAGTATTTTAAGAAGTAGGTTTTTAGATCCCCATAAAACGGCGTGTATTAAAATATCAGCTTTATAAAAAATAAAATTTTAGGATAAATATTTTTCTGTTTATTGGTGAACATATTAAACAGTTTATGATTTTTAATATAGGCATGCGCACCTCGTTATGTATACTTCTCAAACAGCCTCAGAAGACGCGATCCTGTTGGCACATGTTGGACAGCACGTAGCTCGCTGTCTGGATTCAAAGAATATTCTCCTTGCCGGACATGTGAGTTAAGATTTGTTTTTAAAGCTTTATGTTATTTTATATTCGAAGTACGATTAATTCTGTCTTTTACAAATGCTTCAATTACATCCTTATCTAAAAAAAGAAAGAAATGGAAGACATTTGTTATACCCTTAAAAATCGTCCTCTGAAGAAGCCTTTGGAAAAATAAGTAAGTTTATTGAGAATAAAGATATGCCGGAACAAATAATTAAGTGGAGAATGTCTAACCTTTTTAAGTGATGTTTATTGGTCAAAAAATAAAAACTTTACTACGTAAAGATTAGCCATTCCACATACATATGAATAACACTCAATACTGAAATCAGTATGTTCTATGAAGAGTGTGATAAACACAGCCTTAAAATATTTGATAATTTAAATTATTCAAACATCAAATTTGCTTATTAAGATAATTTTAAAAATCTGAAGGTGAGAAATGATACGCTTTTTGCTTTGCACTTGATAATGGTTTTGGCTAAGGCTAGAAAATAAGAACTGTTGTTTTCATTGATGAAGTAATCTTGAAATATATACATATACAAAAGTACAGAAACAGAGGATGATTCATGGATATCCAAAGGGAAATCTAACGTACTAGCCATGACATTTGCGATAGTTTTCGTGCCCTTTGCTTGAATTTTTCTTCTTCTTTTTTTTTTTTCATTTTCACGCACGCCATTAAAGCTACACTTTCTTGCAGACATTATGTGTTAGATCGATAAATCCTGGTCTATTTCAAAGAAAAATTACGCGTTCAGACAAACAAATTAAGTAGACGTAACATTATTTAATAAAACTACACATAAGTAAAGTAAAAAAGTAAAATAATGGTATATATAATAGTGAACAGACTATGCAACAGTAATGAGCATTTGAAACAAAGAAACACGCAAAAACGAAGAAAAAAACAGCTATGAAAGGAACCGAAGCTAAATTATTGCAAAGTAAATTAAATATAAAGTTGTAATAAAGGCAAACTTAGCTTATATGCAGAAACGTCTAAATGCGTGTTCACAAAGTGATAAGTATATGGTGTTGAACGAACTGGGCATATGTATTTTAGACTTAAATAAGTTGAGAAAGCCCATAGAAATTGTATTTAGTGTAATGTTAATTTTTTAAAGGAAATTACATGCAGGTTAAGTTTTGTTTGTGTGAAATAATTTGCAAAAAAAAATAAATAAATAAATAAAGTTCAAATCGAAGCCACCGTCACGTGATGACAACATTGTACCATCGTGTACTATACTCATTGCATTAAAAAGTTTGACTAAGCAAAAAACAGGTAAGATGATTTTGAATAGACAAGCCAATATACATTCTAGACTCCTCGGACAAAATTCTTTTTAACTTTATGAGATTTATAGCATTTGATGGAGAAATTTGCGAGAAAAGTTCCAGATAGACAAACGCAAGCCTATTATTTATACAGATGCGGCAGCTGAATAAGAAAACAAAAGATAGCTATTGTGTTTTGTTTAAAACAGAGATATGTGTTTGAGATAGTGTTAATTATCTTTCAAAACAGTGCTTATATAATTTTACTTTACAATGATACTCGTGGTACCATAATTTGAAAACTTGTTTAGCACAGAGAATTCGACAAATCTACTTATAAGATTATACTTAGCATCGCCTTCAAAAAGTTTCCCCTTAATACATAAGAAAGACTTAGAACTGCAACTTAATTTAATCACTATGATAAAAACTGAACAAAATTTGACTTAAGGACTATTTCTCTGGAAGTTATTTTTTGGTGCAACATCTAATAAGCCAATAGATTGTTATAGTTCAATTTCATCATTATTATTAGTTAAATAAACCGCATTTTATTTAAAGAAGTTTGCTGCTATTGGTGATACTTATCCTGATTTTTAAATAGTTGTCTGCAGTTATGCACCTATGATTTGTATGCTCCTGGACTGTATCCCTTCGTTAGTAATCCAGAGTCTAATTGATGTTACGGTGGAACTGGAACACGCTGAAATGATATTAGATTCAGATCATTTAATACATAAAGGATTAATCTGTATTTGATTAAACCCAATTGATTTCTTTATATGCCATTAATATGCCAAAATCGTTAATACAGTCGAAATGTATCTTTATTGTAGTATTCTCGTGCAAGTAAAAGTCCGTGAAGTACAACCCAACTCCCACAATAGACTGCATTTCTCACCCGATCATCACAACTTTCCATATGATCAAAGAAGTTAAAAATTTATGTTCAAACAAGGCTTATATTTCATTCTAAATCTACGAAAGTTCTAGTTAGCCCTTACGTTTTCTGTGAAAGGAACCACTTATAACTTAAAGGTTTTTGTTTGTCTGTATGCTAACTCCAGCTATTTATTATGGCATTATAAATACCATGGGACCTTTTAGTTTTGAGTTTTAGTTTTTCTATCTATGTATCTTATCTTCTTATGTTTTGACAAACCACCCAGTCTACCAATGAAACCAAACAATTGTACCTCCATGGGACCAAGGTGTACGGCTACAAATATGGAGGCATCATCCTGCCAGAACCCAGGCATATGCCAGAGGCGACTGAGAGCCAGCCACTCATGAGGCCACTTTAATTGTGTCAGGTTTAGACTCTGGAGAAGGGACTACCCTTGCACTGTATCTGTAAGAAACGTTGTAAGATAAGTTCCTATAACATCCAAACTTGCACAAACAACAAGAGTATAAGTGAGTGCTTTATTCAAACCTGTTGTAAATTAACAAATCCTGGGTTGAACACAACTTACAACTTGGAAGGAAGATACAACTTGTTTGACTTAATTAAGGAAGTGATTGGTTCGTCACAAAACTGCTGAACCAGGTCCATAATATGACTTCGTATTTGTGAACTGGAGGTGGCGCTCTTAGTTTATATTTAGACCACTATATTTTTCCTTCATGTTACTTTTTACCAGGTATCGTTGACTACTAAGACTGGTAACGTCAATAGCACTGGATTTCAATCTCGACAGTTAAGAGAGGCTCGAAGTGGTAGGATATACAACTTTAATGTCCTCCATCGACACTCTTTCTGAACGAGAAAATTTTAAATTAATCACCTTGATGCTTGGATTGGTATATATATGAGACGAAAATATTTTACAGTCTATATGTAGCCTTAAGAATTCAGGTAAACATTGTATTACAGACTCTTAAGTGAAACATAGAGGAGGGTAACATAATGTTTACCTGAATTGTCATTATTAAAATTTTCATTGTCATCAACAGCATTACTGCACTGGCTTGGCCACCAATTTTGATTTCACAACTCTTCGTCGCCGTCCTTTTTTTTTCTTGGCCACACTTTTTTTTACAACTGGACTGTTTTTAGTTTAGATATAAAACTCAAGATTGGTAGTGTACACAGATATGCACTTTGAGCATGCCTTTCCATTACTGAAATGTGCCCTAGTTGACGACTTAAAGGATCAGCGTTATACAAATCATCTTTGACTCCAATGCTAGTGACATGTGCATAGGATTGGTACTGTCAAAGTGATTGTGTATATTTTTGTGGTTATGTATGACAGCCATATTTTGACAGTAACACACATACTGAATTTCATTATTGCATAACTAAGAAAGAGCTGTTGGATGTTGTTCACTTCATCAAACCCTTTCACTAGTAACTCCATAGATAGGAATTCATGTTTTCAGTCAGTTTCAAACAGCCAAGAGAATGTTAAAATGTGGATGGGCTTTTACAGAAACATATGAGAACATATCTGTCCAGTCTGTGTTCTCATCATAGCCATCATGTGGTGAAAGAATTCTGGTGATAGCAGGTTCACCAAACATTACCTTGATTCTAGCAATTAAAAAGCAGAATAGCGAAAAGCTTTCACTTAGAAGAATGAAAGATTGCAGTGAAGTCCACATAATCTGACATTTGTTCGATCATCTAGAGGGGTAGAATAGAGTACACTGTTTTTGCTATGACCCAGTATACAAGTGAGGAAATTCTTTGCGGGTTACAACAGAGTATGTCCCACTCCACAATTAGTCTACACACTTAAGTCTGTTATCGAAAATAATGCTATGATATAGAGTGATGTCGCAGACATTATATTCTCTATGCAGCCCAGAAAACAAATCAACGTTGTAAATTAAGGCAGCAAATGTCTGGTTTATCAGTATAGAAGACTGCTCTGGATGTTGCTTGACTTTTTCCAGCAACGGTTTGTAATAATCAATTTGCATTTTAATGCAATTGACTACTTTGCCCAGAAGGCCTAAATGTGTGCTAGTGTTTAATACTGTGGTAAAGATGGCAGAAAATGTGATGTTGAAGTATTATATATGAATTTCAGAGAACTTTACATGGACAAATGGGTGACATTTAACAGCCAACTGTAACATTCTCATAGCACAGATTGTGTTAAGTAGAATGTAAAGTATGGCCATATATTATAGATGATCTACCAGCTTTAAATTTGGTAAAGAGAAAGTTGTTGTCAAAAGAGAGATGCTAGATTATTAGAAAGAAGATACTATTTATGTCAATTTAAGCGAATTCATTGACATCTCAATCATTGAAAGTAGAATACTTAGGCATGTAAGGTGAACTAAACACAAATTTGTGCATATCTTCTTTAGTTGTGATCAGCATTCCTCAGTTTCAGCACATTATAACATCTCATCAGGATCCAGTGCTTTGGGTTAGTTTATGGATAACTAAAAGGGGCCATACCACACGCACTAAACTGCTATTGTTTCATTTGCTTTCTCATCATCATCATCCACGTTGTTTGGTTCTGAATTCAGAAATGTTACAGCAAATAGAGTAAAATATTAACAGGCGGCCTGCCAGTGCAAACGTTTATGTATTGAATATATGGGACTAAAATTGTGTGCTGCACAGAGCTTAAGACAACAATAGCCTTTATTTAGAAGGGTGAAAGATTGCAGTGAGAGTCCACGTAATCTGACATTTGTTCGATCATCTAGAGGTATAATCATTTTCTCTATTTTCTCACACGTACATATTTTCTATA